TTCATCTTTTTTTTTCTCCATGCCCTTAAAAGTTCTGTGTGAATCATAAAAAAAAGAATGAATGAATATTTGCTGCTTAGTACCCAAACACACATATTAAATATGTTTCATCATTAAAACATGAAAAAATAAAATGACGGGTAATCATGGATTATGAAAAAAGTCTAACGCAACCACTGAGCAACACATATCTCATTTTACCCGTTAAGAAAGAATGAATGGTAGCCAGCAGGCTGTTGGCATTAGTGTATGGATGTAAGTGTGAATGGGTATATTTTGGCATGTAGTGTAAAACTAAAAGACTAAATATAAATGCAAATCACAATTAGTAGTTGTAAAGGGCGTTGTGTGTCTGACCGTTTCGTAAATGTTTCGTTTCTCCAGGCCACTGCCTTCCTGATATTAGGCTTCATGGTGATGACCGGCAGCATGACCCTCATCGTCCTGGACTGGATCCAAAGAGCCGGAGTTGAACACGGAGACGGACACTAAAGACAGGAGACTGCTGCGACTGCAACCAACAAAAGATAGAGAAAACTGTAAGAGTAGGAAAAACACAAGAACTCACTCGATGCTCAGCTTCCACTCCCTGAGCCACCAACCATGCCATTCCAAGAGAATGTATCGAACTTTGTACAGTATGCTGTTTTAGGCCACAAAGATGGTGTTTTAATTGTTTTTTCTCTTTTTAATGTATCTTTCTTTGAGTATCGTTTTCATTTTCGCCCTTTTGTAGTTATGGTACAGCTGAGAACAAATATTTGAAGGTGCCTCAAAGCAGAGATAGTGGTAGAGTTCAAACGCGGCTGACACACTGGTACGCCGTTGTGTGTGTGTGTGTGTGTGTGGCTGTGACCCCCGACTCGTCCTGCTGAGAAACTCCCCGAGAAGTACAGGAGGCAGCAGACCTGATGTTCGTCTTTCTCCAGGATGAATGCGTTCCTTCCAACGTTTGTCGTTTGTTTTTTCCCATTTGCCAAAAATGTGTTTGTTAAGCATCTTTGTATATTGAGAAGCACTTACTGTTCAGCACACTTGTGGAGAGAAAGCAGACAGGGGCAAGGCCTACTACATTGCCTTTTCAGTATTGGCACCAAGGCTCTGTGAACTTGCTTATTGTATCAGATTTCCTAGTAAAAGCATTATGAGTGAACAGAACCTGCCCGACACTGGGAGCTGAGAGGGCCTCACAAGAGGACTCTGCAAATGATTTACTCTGTATAACCTGCTGAATATGGACACTACTGCTTTGAGTCCTGGAGGCCGCCCAGCCTTCAGGAGCAACATTAACATTTTTTTCTTAATGGAAGAATATTTTGCATTTTACCACATGCCGTGGTTGTAATATACCTGTTAAACTTGCAAGAACAAAAAAACTAAAACGAAAGGTGTGCTCTGGATACTGACAACCAAACAACAGAGAAAGCTAAAGAGAGTGTCTGTCACAACATTTGAAGTGTTTTGCAGAAAAAAATTGAGATATTTCACAACAAAGAACTTGAAAACTCGACGTGGATTTGTTTGCCCGTTGAAATGTGAATCTGTCATCTGACACTGTGCTTCCAGCGTTAACTGTACACATCACCATACTGTTATTGTCCAACATCTATTTATGGAAGACCGTGAAATCAATGTAATTTAATCTATTTTACTATATTTATATAATATTGTATGTACATATATATATGTATATATATATATCTATTGAGTTCAACTGTATATACGCTTTGTTTTGTTTGAACTTTCTTTTTTTTTACAATATTGCATTGGAGCTGTAAAACAAAAGCGAACCCCCCCACCCCGCTGGTGAATCTTTGATATTGAAACACTGTTCCTCTCTGTAAAGACTGACTGAATGAAGACTGTGCTACATGTGAAGCCACCGATACAACAGCAGCAAACTCGTGTCCTTTATGGCCCCTGGCACAGAGCCAGTTCAGCGAAATGTTTCTTTATGCACATCATGGTTGTAGAGAACGTCAGCCGTCTCTGGACCTCAGGAGCAAAGAGGGCTTTGCCCACCAGTGTTACACTCTTGTTTCAATGAAACACTATGTACATGCTGTAAATATTGTCCAATTAAAATAGATGAAGATAATCTAATAACACCTTGGTGTTCTGTGTCCTGTGTCAGCATTTCTTTGTCTCAAGAATGTGATTTATTAAGGTTAGTTATTAACAATGTTTAAAATATCTGCTGCTTAGATTGATGGTCAACCAACATAGAGGATTCCAGGGGGGACAGGAAAAAAAAGGATTCTTCAAAGAAAAGGCTTTACCAAATAAGAAGAGCTTTGCCATATCTTCTAAGAAGGATAAAGGAAAGAGAAAAGTAAAATATGTCTTATTTTGTCACATTCTGCTTTAATGTAGTTTACAATTTCCACATTTAACATGGATTCAGGCACTCTGAATTAGATTTTTGCAATTTCCGAGACGCAGAAACTTTTAGAAAGCACTACCTCATGTAAGATATCATCTATTGATCAACAGAATTCAACCTAAACACATTTTCTGCTTAATCACTAAGTTAGAAACTGTAATACGTCAATACATCACTTCGAAACAATGGAGGACACATTTAGAGAGGGTTAGAGGAAGATGTAATTACAATATAGCCTACTGTAGTTGGTTTACAGTGCAACTATGTTTAGGTATCCAAATTGTAATGACATCTGATACGGGAATGAGAACACGTTTGTTTGTTTCTGCATTTACAGAGTGCTATAAATGCAAAGGCCAACATATCTTTTTACTTAATGAAAATTAAAGTGTGAAATACAAGATGTATAAAGGCGTCTTGGTGTACATTTGTAATGCAAAAATAAAATGTTTAGCTTTTGAATTGAGCGTTTGCTTGTTCAAGATATAAGATATGTTGTGTATGTTTTTGGATTTTGGGTGTGCTGTTTTGACAAAGAGCGCACTAGTTTCAGTAATTGTGTTTTAACAATAGTTGAAAAAGCAGCTTCCACACTCATAACTAGTAGTTAGTGATGATAAACACGACAACAATGGATGTCAAAGAAAACCCCCGTCATTTTGTTATCTTTTACTTACTAAGATTTTAAAATTATATTTTTTGGGCGGATTTTCACATTACTCTATCGTTAAAATAGATGTTAGACAGAGAAAAGGGAGAAGAGCTGGCATAGAACCAAGCGCAGCTGCCAATGCTCACCTTCTGTATTTATTTTTAATATTCATTTTAAACTCATAAAGATAAGTTTACCGAGTGAATAAAAGATATATTTACTCCGTGCCTTCCACAAATGAAGTGAATAACTGTCATAATTGTTTTTATTCTCCGACAGCAGACTTCCGTTTCTCCTGGCACTAACACATTTTAGCTAGACGACGCTGCCCCCTAGTGGACACCATTTGTATCCCACACAAGTTCTTCAACACAACTCTGATAACACATGCTGTTCTTAAGTGATAAAACATGCCAGAAAGATAAACACTGACCTGCAATCCGTGTGAATTTGACACAGTTGTATATGTTGTTCACATTAAAAGTCTGCAACCCGCATAGCTGATTTCCTTTGCCTGGTTGATTGACTCGTCCTGGTAAGTAACACAGTGACAAGCTGAAGTCAATTAAGTGATAAGTAACTAATTATGCACACCTGCGCTTTCAACATATCTACAGTAAAATAGAAGAAACTATTCTTATTCACCAATATTTCTAACATAACTTCACCTACTGTCAACCTGAGGTCTACCAGACAGGAAGGAGTTTTTTAAGTCCAACTATCAATATATGCTGACATAAGTATATAAGACTAATAATGTGTAAAGAAATGAGGTGATAAAAAAGCTGTTTAATGACCAATATCTGCAGTCTGAAGGGAACCAGGGTACTTTTCGGTTTTGCAGATCTATCTGGTGTTGTTCACTACCAATTAAGCTTTATGAAAGGTTGATTGAAAGCAGTAGTTGCTGACTTTACAAGCTTTATATGGAGTTTCAGCACA